ACAAACACGAACATAGCAGCAGAAGTTGATGCTATGGAAGCAGCTGATTATAATGGCAGCAATATATTAATTTGATATAATAGTCGCCACTGCCGTGGGTCCTTCACTGTCGTTCAGCGGGTGACCACCTGGATTTGCAATGCCACGCGCATACAAGGATACGACGTTGATCTGTGATATACTCGTTAACACATCTGCTTCTATCAACAGTAGAAAGGGAGTCCTTTCCTGTCTGCAGCGAGACTCAGAAAGTTGATTGATAAGTTGATGGATTTAGTATGACGTAATGTGAGATTACCTACATTTTTAAAGCCATGTAAAGGCGCGCGTCTGTGTGGTTGTTTGTGCTACTCTAAACTTGCTTTTATAGAGCCCACTAACATACGATGCCACAGTATCCACACTCAGAAACAGTATAATAACTCAAGTCGTTGCTGTATCTCCTTAGAGCTCAAAGCCGGGAAAGAAAACAAGTACCATATTTTAAACAAATATATTTTGCATTAAGCGGCCAGGGGATCGAACCACGACCTATCGCGCTCGGGACAGACGCTCTATCCACTTAACCATGGACATACGATGACAATAATGCTTGATATATTGAAATTCACATGACACAAACTCTTGATTGGTTTGACTTTGAAAATGACTCAACGTTTGCAAGATTACTGCGTAGATCACAGTAATATTTTAATTATATATTGTACATTAATTATTACATTTTCAAGCTTTTAAATATAAAAAGTCGACTCTCTGGTGCAGGGTTTGGTCAATGTATTAATTAAACCTTATAAGGAATACCTTCAGATAAATATATAACACAGATAAGAATTTTTGTCCACAGAAGCCAATGTTTGTGATCAGGGACGACTTAATGCGTGTTATTTTATCCTATTTGAGTGACTGGGTGCTCAATTGATTGCCTGCTCCAGGAACGACATGTACAGAGCGCCGTCATACAACACTCGATTCATGTCCAAATCGTGGTCTTTCAGTTCAGATGAAAAGCCTCAAAGTATATCTTACAATTGAAATTGAAAGACTCTAACAGTGCTATTGTGGTGTAGCAAAACAGCTACAATACAAAAGGCAAAAGTGGCACAAGGCTTATAAAACCGGCGTCAGTCTGATTCTACACCGTACGAACTCCCCGCCATTTAAGTATCCCAGTTTAATCTCAGGGAACGGGTACGAGGTAGTAAACTGCGAATTGACAGAGGAATAGTGTGTTCGATTGATTAATCGAAAATTTGTAAATTCAGTCACAGTGATCAATATCTATACTCAATGTGGTTACCCACAGTTACCCAGGGTTTGACCATACATACATACATACATACATACATACATACACACACACACACACACACACACACACACACACACACACACACACACACACACACATACATACATACATACATACATGTACAAACAAACACTTTGATGATGTGTTTTTTTTTAATATTTTCCATCGCACCTGTAGCGCCATAGCCATTTACAGGCGAGACGAGGAAACAGTAAATCTATTGTCACAATTCGAAATAGGCTATGTGAGAATGTCGATTGTGGATCGCAACCTGATATGAACTACGTTAATATGTGTAACATGTTATACAAAGTTCGTGTATCCGTTCACATTCACAATAATATTACACACACACAGACACCAATCTTACGTTAAACACAATGATACGTGTCCAAGCCATGAAATGGTTCACCATCATTGACATGAAAACACTATGGCGACCTTTGTTGTTGATCAATTCTGCTTATAAGCAGATGCAGTTCACAATTTGCATTTATTCATTTGACCATCTTAAACTATGTGCCCAGTGTATGGTTAATCGGATAATGAACTCCACCCGCTTGCAGCTCACCTGTCCTGATCGTATTCATGCAGAGGAAAACGAAACAAGGTAAGCGGATACTCTGTCCAGGGGCGTTCTTCATTACATGTGATCAGAAGCTTTGTCCTGAACATAAACTCTGTTATAGGATAATTGTGGTATTAGTCTATTCTACCATATTGATGCATTACAATACTCGTTACGATTATCAGCAATCCTTTATTTAGAACGTCAGCACATTTGCTTATTAGCAGGAAGGTTCTGACTGTTTATGCACATGTGTTGTTGATTGTAGTTACACGTAGCAGAACACTATCAGAACGTGTAAACAATTGTGACTACTTAAAATAAAATTACATTGTACCACAGCCAAACATTAGTGAATATCAACAGAAAGGCATTCACAGACATCTGTCCACTGCTACAAGCAGAGGGGCCAGGAAAGTTTATATCAACCGGGACAGATTCTAATGAACAACAATAACAGCATTACAACAACATTTCGATGTTCTATGATCTAGCTAACATATGACGTGATCCACACTCGTAGATTCTAGTCGATGGTTCCTTACGCCATTGTCGGACGGGACTCAACCCAAAAACAGTACGAGACTTTTGTCCCAATTATAAGATTGGTTGCAATCGGTTGATTTGTTATTGAGTGAAATTTTACATAGGGATGGGTTATCAATTATATGAACGTGATTACTAGAGAATTACAAGTCTCGATTCTATTTGGCGTAAGAGGCTAAATAGGAGACAAAATAATAGGAATAATAGGTTCACAAAACATCAGTGGTGACAGTAGATGCTCTAGCAAAAGGTGAACATGCCCTGCCCTGCCGGTGACATTCCGCCACTTACAGACTTTGCAGAATAAATATGTGTCTGTTGCTAGAAATCAACACATACATGTCTGGTTATTACTCAACGTTTGTTCCATGACCTCAGAGTAGCCGGACACACGCAAACTTAAACTTCTAGGATGTATTCATCGCTTTTGAAAATGTAACAGATAAGTTACTTCGGACTTCTGTATTTAGGTTTGTGGATTACCAGCGACCTGTGATCTGCACGTTCGACAATGAGTTGCTCGTTCAGTCTAGAATTGTTTGGCCTAGGTGCTGCAGTTGCTCACTACGAATGGTTACTGGAGAATTATTCGAATCCCCCAGTGTTGCATAGTCTCAAAGTCTTCAGACAAGTGACTAGTAACAGATGCCTCTGCTTCCTGAGATTCCTCCCAGGGAACTGATAATCACAATTCAACAAATCGTTTGTCTCCAAATCACAATCTGGCAAGTCGATCTCAGTGGAAACATCAGGATTAATTAAGTCTTCGAAATCGGTATTGATATGTTCTTGACAAGAGCTTGTAACGCAACTTTGTGTTATGAAAATGTAGTTGCGAAGACGTATTCTGCTATTTTGATTATTCCAATGGCAGTTTTGAACGTGATCTTCCGCGTCCTTATTTGACGAGACCTTCAATAGTTTTTCTCGAACATTAGCGCGTTCAAGCGTAGTTCATATGGATTCAGCGTAAACAAGAACGTCCCGTGCATATTCGGTGGACATTATTTTACCATATATTTTGAATGGGACTTCGTTTTATTAAGATGCATGTATGGATATGGCCTGAGGTCCTGGAACTAGTTACACATGCTAAAATCGGACCATTTCCTACACATTGGGGCCGCCTCAGTGGTCAACCGGACAGAGCATCTGCCGGGGGCGGGCGAGCGAGTGGCTCAATCCCCTGTCGCGTTATGCAAAATACGTAAAAATATGACACTTGTTGTTACCCTGCCTGGCTCTCAGCATCAAGAGGATAACACAAGAACTTGACGGCTAAACAACACACACACAAACGAATATAACATCCTGTCATTTATAAACTACAAACAGCATATGACGCTATATTTAAAGGTTTCCATGATGACAAACATAAACCGATTTGCCAAAAAATGCTGGATGCAGAAAAATCCAGTTTCAAAAGCAGAGATCAAATTTACTTTGACGGCGGTTGTATGGCCTGATTGTTATAGCTATCACTCATCAAAACGATAGTAGGACAAAGAATGAAACCCAATTCTGGGTCCTTTCCCTTCTGTGATATGTGTCGTAGTCAGGTTTGTTCTCTCTGCAACCAAATGATCTAGTAGATTTTTTTATTATGAATATTTCCTCTGATGATCCTTAACTTATCATACTTAAATTTCCAGTTTCCCCCGGTCTCATCTGTCCAGAAATCAGAAATCGCAATATCTGAACAATTTAGCATAATATTCACAATACCTAACTGCGAATATGTTCGGTGTAAGTATAAATAATTAATGTGTGTTATATTTGTGTTGTCCAAAACAGGAGACGGTCAAAACTTACATTGTGGATCTGGTTGCTCTAAACTTTAAATTGTTTCAACTTCATGGTTTATTGTTTGCTCGTGTGATCATCGTCTATGTCTGAATAACAGGGCACAGGTGTTGACCCGCATAGTATTCTTGGAATCCATGGGTTTAAACCGTTGACACATGTACATGTTCATGAAGGATTTTTGTCTATTTGAGAATACGAAAAGACTAAGGTCATGGAGTGTAATGTGCATATTGTTCAGAATGTATTCGTTTGTGGTGCTAGAAATAGGTCGACCAGAACGGGTGTCATGTTCGAAAATCTCTATCCCACATGCTGTAATACATTACACCAACATGGGCAGGCTCAACATGTTCTGATATCCCGTCATTTGCATTTAGTATCAGACACATTTTATATCCCAGACATGTTTCCAAATGTTCGGTATTTATGTGTTCATAAATTATACATGTTCACAAAATATAGGAACATAATAGTGTCTTCCGTAAGTTACCTCCCTGTCGCAAGTCAACAGGATGTATGTAACAATTATTCATAAGCAGATACTGTGATATAGTCGGAATCGTACAATTGACTCTGCTTTTAGTATACATATCTTATGATCATGGAAAGGTTTTTGTCGCTTTTACTTCCCCAGTGTTCAAGTCTTAGATTTTGTTTTGTCAGCATCACATCCGTGCTCGCAGGTTGCACTAATGTGGAAAACATCAAAATGAACTCAGACAGGGGGCGGGAACTCATTTTAGTCATGTGCTTATATATTGGTAATACGTGATGCCTACACTCTGTGTTGTAGATATCCCCACCTACAACATAACCAGTGACAGGGCTACAGACGCCGTGGATGTATATGATGGAATATCCCTCACAGTGGACATCCGGGGCTTCTACTGTTCTGCAGCTCACAACTTGACGCTGCAGGTCGGGAGTGTCACACAGCCACTGAACATATACTTACCCGAGGCTGTGACCGAACCAACAAACATAAACTTCACCATATCCATTAATGTCACAGAGTCACACTTTGGGGATATAGAACTGATCTTTCTTTGTAACGGCCAGCAGTTGAATGTTAGTCATCGAAGTGTTACACAACTATAACATAATACCAAGGTTTCGGGTAGGTTTATTATTCAGCATGTTCGGCGAACAATAAAAAATATGAATATATATGAAAATATATATGAAACATTTTGCCATGGAAACTCGAAAAGAATGTTAGTTTAACAAATCCCAAACTTTCAAATGGAACAAGGTTACCACAAAACCTATCTTTGAGCCAAGTTTGGTAAAGAAATAATGATGTGTGACTAGTATTGATTGCGTGTTTACATGCTTATAACATCCTGGTTGATATACACACTGACTTGATATGGCTGGAATATTATATAAAAATAAGAAATATAAGCATGTATATTTATGACTTTGTTTGCTCCATGTGATATGATTTCGTTAATTAACATGACATTGTTTTTACTCAATTATAAGACCTATGAATATCCGGGGTAGAATAGGTCTTCACCAAACCATTCTTGCCGTAAAAGACGATTATGCCTGTCGTCAGAGGCGACTGGTCTAGGTAGCTGACTTGGTTGATGCATGTCATCGTATCCCAAAAGCCAGGATCGATGCGCATGATGTCAATCAGTGGAGTGTCTGGTCCCGACTCGATTATTTACAGACCTCCGTCTTATAGCTGGAATATCGCCGAGTGCTGCGTTAAATAACAAACAAGCAAATATAATTAAAGGAATGATTGAAATGAACGTGTCAAAGTAACACATCCCCTGATTTCTTAATAAAACGCACAACATTATGTTTCAGATACCAGTAACACTTCCAACACCGGCGTAAAACTACAAACCAAACAGTCAACTACCAATACCGCTGACACTAATGAAGAATTGATTCACATACTAATTGCACTAGGTGTCTGCGATATTGTGATCATCGCCTTCGTTGTCTTGCGTTGATGGCGCAACAGACATAACTTAAGTACAGTTAATTCAATAAACCAGGTTGATGACTCTCTTCACATACAAAGTTCATCTTCCACCGACATGAACATGAATGAACTGGGTACAGTGACAAGAGGGGCGACCCGTGAAGCTCCAGGGTAGAATAGGTCTTCAGCAACCAATGCTTGTCGTAAGAGGCGACTAACGGGATCAGGTGGTCAGGCTCACTGACTTTGATGATGCATGTCATGGTATCCCAATTGCGTGGATCGATGCTACTGATGTCAATCACTGGATTGTTTGGTCCAGATTCGATTATTTACAGGTTATTTTTATTGCTAGGTGATGTACTTTCAAGGAGGTCAGTTGCGATTTTGATTGTTTTAGGTGATTGGTTTTGCTTGAGATTTTTAAGTATTGTATGTCAACGGACATTCGAACATATCTTCATGGGCAGAAAGTGGAACAGTTACTCAAAGTTGCTATTTCGGCTGATGATTATTCACTGACTCAAGGGGTAAGCTTAAAGCAAGGTAACTAATCAGGAAAGGATAGCTCATCCCCTCCTATATGTAGTTCTAAAATGTCTAGTTCTGAGTTTATTTACAAAAAGTCAAGTTGTGCTCGAGTTGGTTCTAAAGATATTCCAGTTGGTTCTAAAGCTATTTTTCTTGATATTGCCGCAAGCCAGGGCATATAATTTCTGAGTGTAGAAAGCTCGCTTTCTTCCACGAATGCGTTTGTGAATGTCAGGTTACATCCTTTTTGTGGTTCGGCAAATTGCAAAATCTTTTTTGGTGAGAGAGGAGTACTTACCTATTGTTGTGTCAGCTAAAGGTGATAGCTACAATGTAAAGAGCATTACTGTTCTGAGGGATACTGGTGCTTTCCTAACACTGATGTTGGGTGGTATTCTGCCACTTTATCGAACTCTGATATCATGTTAGAGGGTTTATGTGGTTTAACCAGTGTTCCACTCCATGTTGTAAATTTGAAGACAGATGTGTTGTCTGGGTTGGTCAAGGTGTTGGTTGTACACACTCTACCTATTAAATGTGTAGACATGCTAATTGGGAATGAATATTAAGGTTATTATTAAGGCTTTTGTAAAGTTTTCCCTATGGGTGGTTTGTCTAGGACTATTCGGTCAGAGCAGGTCCCTAATTTCATGACAGGTATTTTCCAACAGGCTATGCACAAGTTAGACATTCATCAGTTTAAGTCTAATGCATATCATCCTTAATCTCAGGTAGCTTTAGAGAGGTTTCATCAGACTCTTAAGACCATAATAAAGACTTATTGTTTTGAGATTGATTGGGATGAATTGATTTGTTATTGTTTGCTGTGAGGGATTTTATTCCTTTTGACCTCAACTTTGGCCATATTGTTCGTGGCCATTTGAAGCTCTTAAAGGAGCATTGGCTTAACAGTAGGGGTGGAATGTGTTTGATGGAGTATGTCTCATTATTTCTAAGCTAAGCTTACAAAACCTTGCAAAGGTGCTAGGGATAACATGAAGGAAACGCAGGACAAAGTGAAAGTACATTATGACAAAAGGTCTCAAGAGAGACATTCCCGTCCAGGCGATAAAACACCCAACAGACCATGACCCGCCTCCACCCATGAATCGCAAATGGTCGGTCCCTATTTTGAAACGCGCACCTTATGCAATCTTAAGCTGTCAATGTTCCGCCACTTAAACGATAAAATCCTAATGTAAAACAAATAGTTGGCCATACATGTGAATACATTAATAAAAATATAACGTGACGAATTTCCTACAGGTTTCCTGAGCTGTTGAGTGGAATCCCGATGACCATACACCTGTGGAGCAGATTCATGTTTTGTAACTTTCTCCGAGTTTTCATAAAAATTATAATTTGATGTTATAACAACATCATAGTCATGGTAGTTTATATATGCATTTCGATTTTGTAATATTCTTTGCAACATGTTAACAGTTCCTTTATTCTGATAAAGCTATGAACGTTTGTTTTCAGTGGATGACTTCGATGATGACAAATGAAAGCAGTGGACAGATTTTGCTTCTGTTAACATGTCTCCTATCTGGTAAGTGATATTGTTGATAACATGACAAACATTCACCAAAGGCATTATGTTCAGACTTGTATAATAATTTGATTTGCTTTTTTTTACAGTGTAGTTTAGGCGAATGTACGTGCACGTGTAAGACCCATTCTAGTGAACAAAACGAAGACATGCACACCCAAACTATATCGACTATATATCCGGACCTAGACTGACAGTAACAGTCTATAACAATCTTTGAATTTACCTCACTATCTGGTTGACACAATTTTAAAATCACATTTCAATGATAGGCCATTTCATCTTTGGCAACTAATTCGTCATATGGCTGGAATATTGTTTAGTGCGCCGTTAACCAACCAACAAACAAACAAAACAAACATTGGTTTTCAGGGATCCTTTTAAATACATACAGACACTGATTTGCATTTTACGACCTATGGGTCGGAATTTGGTTCAGCAGGTAATCCAGACTGATTTTTCCACAACGTTGAAGCTTCGAAAGTATAGTCACAAACGCCTTGTTAAATCAATTAAAATGATATAAAAATAACAATTTTCATTTACACACATTTATTTCTTCACAGTTTCCACTGAACTCATCTGCCCTGACACCGGTTTCATTGACTCTTCAGCACATATGTCCTGCTCCGGGGGAACTACATCACACGACTACATCAACCCAAGCGGTCGTAATGTTGCCCAATGTCTACTGACTGGTGAACGGTGTGACGTAGATCCGAACATGTTTGTGTCTGTCCTTAACGCCACTCACACTACACTCACCATAGGACGTGTACATTTATCAGATGCGGGGACATGGAAATGCAATACTGGATCCGGAGAGGCGACTTGCCACCTGTCAGTTGCAAGTAGGTTTTTCTTTCATGTAATCGTTGAAACGGTGATGTGAACGTAGATTTGGGGATTATTACCTGTCCGAACAACTACCAACACTGTAAATTGTGTTTCGTTTCATTGGTAGAGTTCGCAAGTTCTATAAGAGTAAACCAACAACGAGTAAGTAAATTAAATTGATAAATATAAAGGAAATATGGTCTTCAAAAGAAGTAAGGGATCATGAAATATTAATGTTATTATCAAGTATTAGAACAAATATACATGTTGACAAAAACAAATTGTGAAAGAACCTTTATGTATGTTAACCTTTACACCAAAACACATCCTATAGTTGCACGTGCCTCAAACGCAGTAGCGCTACGTTATTTTGACACATTATAGGAAAGGTCAATACTTCTGTCAATTAGTCAATTGATTCAGCTCATCATACAGCAGCGATTTACATGAGTTCATTTATTGTTTATGGGTTACCTATTGCTGTGGCTTCTGCAACGCACGGAGCGTCTACGGACTATAGGCATGCTGGGAAATGGCAAATGTGTTTAATGCATTTATGCGACTCTGGGACAGGTACTTACAAATCCCAAATAATGACGATCCAAAACGAATTGCTGCAAACTTCCATAAGGCTACTCGAGTTCGAGAAATCGTCTACATGTATATATATATATACTGTATCTTTGTTCTTGTCGGAACACGTGTGTGTTTTCCATGACATTTAGCATATCAGCATATCAGCGAACCAGAGGCCAAACTTTTTTCCCGGCGCTGTAATATTCCCCAATTCCAAGAATAATCTGCCCATACCTGGTTTTCCAGTTGTTGGCACTCGAACGTTGTATTGAACGTTTGACACGTTACGACTGGCGGTTGACTACACAGAGTGTGTAGCATATGCACGATAAATGTTTAGTCACAGTTATGACATTTTAGTTAAGACGACCCTCTTCATTGATCACCGATCTCACGAAGCGACATGGACATAATGTTTTTGATATAATATTAGTCTCTGGTGACTTCCTGTGTCTGTGCCTTTTTGTAAAAAAAACACCACGCCTGGCTCTTTAGCCTTTACAAAAATAAGCTATTGGTGTTGCAAAATGAATGCCGTTAAATATGTATCAGAATAGTATCCCATTTAATTACAGGTATACCAGCATGCCAAATAACAAGTCCACGGGACACTAGTTCCCTGCGCATTGGCGAGGATCTGTTACTGAATATTTCAACTCCAAGATATTACTGCTCTGATGCCGTCCCGCTTCTGTTAATGATGGGGAAGAATGATATAACACTCTTCAATGAAACCGTTAATGATACTACAAAGGAATATTTTGTCGTCAAACAACGTATGACAGCTTCACATTTCGGGATTGTAAAGCTATTCTTCGAATGTGGAAACTTTCGTCAGGCACTTTTGTGTGAAGGTGTTCAACTACTAAGTCTTGAATACGGTACGTGGTGCATATGTACGATAACCATTTATGTTAAACATATTAGGTTATGGAAACCAGCATATTTATTCGTGTTAGGAACCAACCATTTGATATTCTGAGAAGGGTTGGGGCGGGGCTAAGAGTTTGTATCGAGGTTAATTTTATTTCAGTTACAGCTACAAATGGTCGGTCCCTGAAGACTGAATAATTGATGGATGTTATAGTGTCTTAGGCAATTGGAAGAACATTCCACCAGTTACAGACAGATCAGTACCATATTGTTGATCTCTCTGTCCAAGACGAAAGCTTATGCCATTGTGGTAGGAATATATACGAATATAATTTTTGACTCCGACATGCCCCCAAATATCTTTTACATTAGACGCATTATACCAGGTTATGTTTTAGAGACGAATAGTATGCTGTCATTCTGCTTGTGCACGTAATAGGTTTAGATTTGTTTCAAAGATAGAAAACAATGTCAGAATATCTACGTACCTTTTTCAATGTATTAAGACAATGATAAACTTATATTACTCTTTTAGATAACAGTTTTTGCAGTGACGAAACGGGCTCCAGAGCTGCGATAGTCATGGGGATATTCATCATTATCATCGTTGTCATCGGCATCCTCATATTAGTCAAGAATCTCAGAAGCAAAAACGATGGATGTAAGGTAGAAATGAATAAACACTCTCCATTAAACCAATCTCCTAATACAATTAAAGTTGTGCTTCTTTCATTAGATCAAAGCTTGTGACCGATAAAGGATTAAAATAAACCAAATTCTTATATATCACCATCCTACTTTCTTGCACATATAAACGAAGGCACAAGATTTTTTAAACCCTTCTTAATTTGAACAGCTCACTCCTCCGTTCTAAAATGGACAATGGTTCCATCAAATAGGTTGGTGCTTGCAAAAATTACCTTAAATACCTGGAATCAATTCATCATCAATACCGGACACTCTGCATTGGATTTTTCTGAACATTTCCTTTTCACAGTCTTTCCATTAAGGCTTATGAGACTTTTCAAAAACAACCCCCTGTGTAATTTAATAACACTAATATATTCTAATATACTTACAGGAGAATCCAAGGATAACGACAAAGGTGACAATGCCAGTCGATCGAGAAGTATATCATACTCTACGTTAGCAATCAAAGGCTATTTTAACAGCTCTAGAAAAAAACATAACCAACTCATTATATTTAAAACTCCCTGTCCTGACTTCGGCCAATGTAAGATGGTTCTTGTGAGCAGTACATTTTACCGGACATCATTCAATTAAATAATAATGTTGCTACTGGCCAATGAGACATCATTTTGTGTTGGTTACCGAGCCATGTAGACAGCTTTGGTAAGACGATGGCTAAAGCTGCACCAAACGCTACATTCAACAAATCTGGGACAACCTTTCTTATGCCATACAATGATTGAAAGTATGTTACGTTGAAACGTTTTTGACGTCAAATGGTTCTCTGTATTCCAAATCAATGTTTCGTTTTATAATGTTTGTCCACGTGTTGTTTTGATCGTCATGTCGTGATTATACTAGCCTTGGGATCGCATCCGTTTGCTGTGGGACAGATGTTATGCCAGATGTGCACAGTATCCACGAGTACTGATGATTTAGAAATAAAGTCATGGTTATAAGTTCGAATGTGCATTTACAAAATACTTCATTGTCGGCTGATGTCTTAACTTCGCTTAACGTCAAGCATAGTTTGCTGAAGATATATTCCAACCCGGATCTTCACAGGTTCTATATGTGGCATATGAAGTGACGGCCATTCGATAGACAAACAGTTGGTATAGATATAGGTAACATAATCATATTTACACTGCAGAGACTCTAATCAGGTCAAATGCACAATTATCTGTAAATATGCATAGACGTCTTCCTGAACATAAACTGATTTAAACTTAAGAGGGTGTTCAGGGTGTGCAATACAGCTTCTTGTTCTATACATCTTCTTCAATCAGGTTTAGTATATGAGATATCCTATCCTTCCTGACGACTGCTTACTACATAGAACTTCATTCCAAAACACAGTGCAATGAGCGTCTGGAGAATTTCAGCAGAAACAATGAAACGGGTGGCCCAGTCGTCTAAGGCGCCGCGTTTCACTGTGCAGAGTTGCGCCCCTTGGGCATGCCAGAAACCTATGATTGTGGCCTCGAATCACGTTTCGCCTCGATTATGTTTCTAGGTTTGTCAGTGATATACTTGAATAATATTAAAAGCGACGTTGAACCCAACTCACTCACTCACTGCCAAAAAGTTGTACTTTATTGACCAGTGGTTTCTAGTGTACTCACTAATGAGACTGACCAAGGACACGTGCCGTCACACCTACATGTAGTACTAAACAAAGGAGACCCTATTATGCGATATTTTTGCATCAGAAGTTATACAATATTAGCAGTAGATCTCACTTTAATGAAATTGTGATGCTTTACAACTAACAATGTACGGAGCCATTATTCATGCACACAAACAGATAATCAGAACTAGATTATAATTGAACTGGTTCGGTATATCCGATTATTCGTTACATCCGACGTCGTCATATCAAGGGTATGCTGTATAGTTCTTGAAAAATACAACCCATTGTCAGCCATCATATCCAGAAGTATGCTAGCCTCTTGAAAGTGGTAACTGTGTCATTGTAACAGATCTATTCCACTGTTCATACATTTGAACTATTGTTCGTTGCTTGCCATAGATGATTCAAGGTCAGGATAGGTGACCAGCATCCCCGTGTTGTGGTAGGAGTTAACGGCATTAAAGATCAAGAGGCTGCAACATAGCTGTGCATGTTTAATTCTACCCCGAACCCTTGCAGATCCGGGTTAGAAGAATAGGTCTTCAGTAACCCATGCTTGCCGTAAAAGGCGACTATGATTGTCAGAAGAGGCGACTGGGTCGTAGAATGGTTAGCGATCACTCAAAGGCCTGATGAACATTGTCAAGAAAGGGTGAATGCTGACGGTGGCTACACCAGTTACTGAAGCTTATGCGACTTATATGAACGTCATTTTAAGGGGTTCAAGAATGTTTTCATCGGGGTAATAAACTAGTGTATAATGTAATATAAAGTTTGTTCGTTTTGCGTTATCTGTTCTTGACACATCAAAGAAATATTTTGTCAGTAGTCGTCAACATGTTAGCTAGTTAGCTAATATTTATATGCAAAAAATGTTTTTGACCCTTGACTTCTTTTGAATAGCATATATAGGATAAATGGCGTTCGCAAAAAAAGTCGGAATCAAGCTTTTCACTTCACCTGACCTTTGAAGTGGAGGACATGATTTCAAGAATATTTATTCAAAGATACATAATATACTTTGAAAATGAATTTTGTCATTCAATTATATATTTTTAAGCATGGGTACCATTTGCTATTACCCGGCTTTTCAGCGAATTCCTAAACCACTAAGCTGTCCACTGCCCTAAATGTCTCAAAGCTAAACTAGCGTATCAGTAGAGGGGGTATATCATTTTTTGTCGTTGGTCAAAACAGGTGACAAGATCAGCAGACAATCATGCACATGATGACGTGGTTGTAACTCTGTCACAAGGGAATCGAAACCAGACTGAGGACAATGTTGTAGTCGGCCCTGGAGGATCTGCTTCTGGTACTGATCAACAAGGACCTGGACTCCGTATTAATCCAGCGTACGTCCCTACTACTGCAGATGACAGAATAGTCACAACAGGGACATCCACAGAGACAGGTGTGATGGGTAAGTCCACTCCTTTACATGACACTAGTTTGGCATTTTGAGAAAGTTGAGAAAAGTGACATTTCCATTGCAGTGAACATAACACTTGACATTTCACTCCAGGTAACATAAAACTTGATATGTCACTTGATTTAGTATTTTCGTGACCCTTAATATTTTTTTGATACTTTTGTATATATCTTGTGAGATTTTGTAAACACAAAACCACTTTTTTAAGTCGCAAATACAAGGGTTGGTGAACAGCCTCTGAATGTTAGGCAGGGATAATATATATATATATCTCCTTTGCCCCAGTCATTCGATGAGAGAAACATGGTATTTCACTCGACACATAAAATATCATGTACATATTTCATTCTTCATATGCACTAGTTTCTGTATAACGTTTTGCTGTTTTCAATGTCATAATTGTTCCGGAAAGTGGTTGTACTGGTATTATTCACAATGGCATTATTTGTTTGTTATTTAAAGCTTTACGTAGCAATATTCCAGCTGTATGGTGTTTACCAGTAGCCGAGTCTGGAGCTGACAATCCGGCGATAGACATGAAGATCGTCAATCCACACATTTGTGATTCGATGACACACAAGCAGCCACGTGATGGAGACTGACCACCTACTCCATTTAGTCGCCTCTTATGACAAGCATATGTTGCTGGGGACCATTGCTAACCACCAATCCTCACGGATGACAATGCAATAAACATAATAATCCATTACTCTTGGGTCTACATAATGATTTATAAACATAGTGCGGTTGAAACGTGGATTGTTTTAATTCCTTGTCTGCCGTTCTCACGTCTAATTTTTATGAATCAATTTGTTGACTAAAATACTAGTTGTCCCAAAGTATGATTAAATGTTGGCATTTGTTTCAGGTGGCGAAAACCTTCATCCTGAAACGAGAGGAGAATATGTTGCCCTTGATAGAAATGCTGTCCAACCATCAAACATCTATGAACATCTGGGAACATATGAAGAAATTGGCAGCGCGTGAAGTTCTGCTATCCTAAAAATTAACGGGAGACTACACTAAACATGTATGTCGACTGACATCAATAGACTATTGCCTTGTTTAAACTAATAATTAACTGGAGTGTACATGTCCACTGTGGGCACTGGTGGCCCAATCGTCAAGGGCGCCGCGATTCCAATGTATGGAATACATGATCAAAGTTTGAAATAAATAATATTTATATCTAGCACAAATGTTTCACATTACATTTTATAATTAATCTTCAGGATAGTGTGTCAGAACTTCACACTTATTATAAACTTAATCACATCAATGTTAAAAAAGAACTATCACTGTGTTTGGATAATAGTATTACTGTCTTGGTCCAACGCAGTAGTTTTGGAATCCTAGCCTAGCAAACAGGACGTTTATTTCGAGCGCCTGTCCTGGTGCAATCTGCAATTGTTACTGGTCTTACCTATTAATTAACGAATGACATACCTGTATGAGTGCATGCGATATGTATTTGTCAAGGCAATGCAAAGGGATAGCAAATTTAGAAATTAACGAATGGAGACAAGAAGTTGTAGCATCTGTAGGAGATGACATGTACACAGCTTTTACCAATCAAAACTGGCTTTCAGAGAAAATATTTATCGATGGATACTACACGAGTGTCTGTCAGATACCATTTCGGTTACAACAAGTTGTTTCAAAACGTATCTAACGAGTTGTAGGATAAATGATATCTGTCAGGCGCGAGTGCAGTAAACTGTTTCTTACATACCCTTAAATCCCACCTTTTTATGCATATTCATGTTGTTGTTTTTGGCGCATTAATACAAAAACAACCCGACGTACTGATTACTTCGCATAACTAATGTGACCCAACACAAAAAGGTTTACGCCATATCTAATATTATCTATAGATTATCAAGGCGATGATGATAATGCAAACTAAATAAAACAACAAAACCCGCTGGATTCCGACTTAAAAGTTTTCACCTCAAAGAAATGACCAAATATGAGCAACAATGTTCACTTCCGTATGACATCATTACCGCTGACCGACTTTCACAAAATGGCGTGTTCCCAGAAAACAGTACGACAAACTGTGTAGTGTAATTTGCTGATTGTTTTCAAATGATGTCAAGAGAATTAGTAAGAAATAGAGATAACTACCGTCGTCGTTGTGCATGACTTTCCGTCAGTCATGACGTCATTCGCAGGACGGAAAGTTTAAGAATTCTCTTGTATTTACTTGATCATTGTCTTTATATATTTTATTATTCGACAATTTTGGTTACGATACTCGTCCCATGAATAGTCTTAAACGCGTGAGCCAATGTATACAACAATTAGATGAAGGGATAGCTGAAAAAAAGGACACAATGCCACATAGTGTAATATCTAAAATGTTGCTTTCCTAACATTTCAACAAGTACAGTTTAAGGTCACACTCGATAATAGTCCAGCTATATGACGGTGGTCTGTAAATAAGCGATCCTGGCCCAGACAATCCAGTGATTGATGCCATGAGATTGGGATACGATGACATGCATCAACCAAGTCAGGGAGCCTGACCCCCCGATCCCGTTAGTCGCAAGCATTGTCGCCTTTTACCGCAAGCATGGTTTGCTGAAGACCTAGTTTGTCGCGGATCCGAAAACAAGTAGGCGGCTGGCTTGTTGCTCGAATGTTGCTAAGTGAGTCCTTAAACAATCATACAAAAAACAAATGTGATATTGAATGAAACAGGATATGTGACACTACATTTCACTTCTTTCATTTTTTTTTATTCACTTTTGTTTATATCGCACTTTTCTTTAAACTTTACTGGTTACATTAGAAGGTACAAAAATGTTTTGAAGATCAGACCGTCCCCGTGGTCTAGTGAATAGACCGTCTGCTCGGAAACAGGAAGGGCGGTAGTTCTATCTACAAAAGATGGAACATGCAGTTAATCTGCCTGGCGCTCAGCATTAAGGGATACGTCAAGGACTGTTTTTGAGGATGCTTGCACATTTTGCATATAATATGGCCAATGATTACATCATATGAAAAAAGTTGATCGGTCAACATTGTAAGTGATCATTCATCAGGAATATTAACTTTTAAATCAGGACTGATAATATGTAAAGGTATTTTCAAGCACGGAAATCAATGTTAGTTGAGAGTTATTAAGACATCAATAATTGAACGTCGTTATATTCCTGTTTTTAAAACGTTGAAATAATCATATATCATTCAATCAGTCAAAGACAAAATTTAGACTGAAATAATAAAATCATAAAAAAATAAGTAGTATTAGAACAGAAGTTCTAATGCTGGGGTTGGGAATGGCAACTGGGTGAGTGCGTATTTCTATTGGAGGGATTGGGTGCCTTCCTTGCCAAGTATGAAGTTCAATTCAATGAGGTAGTTTATACCTGAATGTGTTCGCTGAGGATGATACCAGAGGTGAATTTATTTCTTGCCATCACCAGCCCTAATAATATATCCTTCAATCAGTCATAGATATAATTAAGACTGAAATATTAGAATCATAAAACAATATGTCGTATTAGAACAGAAGTTCTAATGCTGGGGTTGGTAATGGCAGCTAGGTGACTGTATATTTCTACTGGGGGGATTGGTGTCTTCCTTGCTAAGTATAAAGTTTAATTCAATGAGGCGGTTTGTGCCCGTATGTGTTCGCTGAGGAGGATACCAGGGATGAATTTAGTTCTTGCCATCCCCACCCCTCGAGTGCAATATGGATTTATAATATTTGCATACACATATAGTATATCATCACTACATGAATAATCACTTTTGCTTTGTTCTGTTATGTTGTTGTTCCTATGCACATGCATAGTTCAACCTTGTGTTCACGTCAGCTTACGGGTTTACAATCATAGTGAACATCTGTTGAAAGATGCTAGATGGTTTTATTCCTGCAACTTAATAGGAATTGAATAGCAAATTTTCGTTTCTAATGTGCTTCATTGATTCGTGTCCTGTTTCCCTTATCATCAACCAAGCTATTCTTTAAACCATACTTTGAGTGTTGTGTGGAATTGAATCATGTCGTTGTTGTTAGGATACGATACACTTTCTTAGAAAACATGTTAATAAAGTAAGAAATTGATTTGATTATTTCTTAAACACATAATGTTGTTATGTGAATCCAAGCAAACTTCGTCATAAACATAACTGTATCAGAATGCATTGCTATATTCTTGCTTTAAATGTTAAGTATAAAGATGTGTTGATATCAGTAAATTGTTCATGATTTTGCAAATGCCATATTTACTTTTTTGCATCAAATAGATTGATGTTCTTTGGTTTTATGTCTTACTTCTTTTTTTGAGTTAACGTTAGTATAATGTTCTCGCTTTTGACATGTTTGGTTCTTTGAGTATCCGTAAATGGTAACGGAAATAGTTCAAGTAATATTAAAACCGAGTTTGGTGTACTTCCTCGTTCTCGATATAGCAGCTCACACATAGAAAAAACGAAACATTTATTAAACACGCAGGATAAAGGACACGTCCATATGAATACATTTTCGCCACGCCTTTGCGTTAATTCTAAGACAAATGTTTAATAAATAGAGCTGACCTTTCTCGTAAGCAAGTGCTCTTGTTACTAATATCACGGATGAATAGTGTTACGCCGAATGTTATCGTAGTACTCGACTGAAAAGGTCAACATTACTGATGTACCTGTTAAATATACGGCTCATGTTGATCTGGCGTTATCAATGTTCAGTTCTAGGGCTACTTTTGCATGCATGAGTAGGAAGGCAATTGTTAAAGTTACAGTTTTGAAAATATTATACTTTGTGCCTTGAGTTTAGAGTTAAGCATACATGTATAAGTTGTTTCTATCCGTTAGCTCAGTTGGTCAGTTCAGACTAATACAACTACGAACTTTATTTCACTTGTAACAAAATAAAATGATTTTCTGTTTGGAATTGTGGAAGTATACAGCAGCTCATTGATAAGTGTGTTTGTTTGTTTTTACCTACTTAAATGGACTTGTCCACACGATCACTGGATTCAAAACACACCTGATTTATAGTTAGGCTAGATGAATATTGTTTGTTGTATTGATATATTGCACAAACTTGCTAAAAGTGCCACGGTACTCTGGTTTCCCAATAAAAAGATGAACTCATTGAGAATATAGTCTCCCAACAAACTATGCTGGTTGTAAGAGACGACTAAAAAGCATCGCGGGTTTAGACTCTGTGTCTTGGTTGTCTTGGCTTAGTATGGACATTACCCTCCTTTGACGAAACATCCTGTCACGTAAAATCGATTTCACACAAAGACAAAGTATTTGTTGTTTTGTTTCTTTCATGACTTGTAAGCTAATTTATAGAAACATTCGTCGACACGTTTTGAAGAGTTATTGCATGTAGTTGAAAACATGCCTCACGTTCCATGTGTCACGTATGAAATACTGTAAGGGACATTCTCGAGATCTCGCATTCTCGTCATCTCGACCTTTGGAAACGAGCTAAATTTGCCCAAAACACGAGAATGCGAGAATCTTGCGTTCTCGCGATCTCGCATTCTCTTGTTTTTGGAACAAAGCACTTTCTGTCAAAAGCAGACAACGCGAGAATGTGACATTTGGATATGATGCAAAATCTCGCAATCTCGCAATCTCGTCTTGTCAAATTAGGCCACAAAAACACGAAATTGCGAGAACGCATGAATGTGACATTTCATTTTCTCGCGATCTCGCGTTTTAGACGCTGTACGTGCACATGCGTAATATCATAGGTTAAGGCGCATGCGCACGTCGTTAGTAGTCCTTTGGTCATGCTTCTTTCATGCTCTTCAATCTCCAAGTAGCATTTAACAAAATTATGACTAGAGCTTCTAAATGCTATGTAATTTACAAACACAAAGTCCTATGTGGAATAGAGCAGGGTCCTCACCCGTTGTAACACTTTCCTATGTACTGAATATTAAAACCCTCGACTTGCTCAATATAATATAACAAAAGAAATTGTGTACATGAATGTCCAAAGATAGTTTTGTGTCCAA